ATTAATTAAGACCATTAAATCCATCAGAATTTCAAGCAACTTAAGCCTCGTTAAAGAAGTTGTTACCTTGTCTGACCATCATTCAGTTTATACACGCATTATGCGCCATGGGTTCCTCACGATTAGCAAAGTTTGCGACGACAATTACTCAAACTATCCCTCTGACCTTTCTGCCGTTCTAAGTATAGCTCACTGGCTACTGTTCTGTCAAATGATTAGGGCCATACGATAAGAAATTACCTTATTACTGCAATCAGTGGGATGGAGGAAGGTCCTTCATACTACAGTTGCAGCGATCTTTGATTTTCTTCGACGCCGTACTCCTATAGAATTCCCTACAGCATCAGAAGGAAATTAAAAACATTGCTTTTTTCTTTTAGGCCTGCCACCCCGATACCCACCACCAAATAGTGTCCACTTCTGGGCCACCATGGCCCGGGAATTCAGTCCCTCCCTTTTACCAAATCTGGCAGAGGCGGGTCTGGGAATCTGCCAGCACTCCTGCCTCAATGCCTACGTTTGGGCTTCGTTTGCCATATCATACAAGTCACTTATCGAAGAATGAGAGGGCGTCACTTCTGCATTCAACTCCAAGCGGAAGGCATTTCTGTGTATGCCAAGGTGAAGTGGTTCAAACTTCGGTCATTGAGGCAAACGGCACCCTGCATGGCATATGGGCACAGATCACCGCCTGGCTGCTTTCCTAGTGGATCCCCGGGCACAGAATTCTTGTCACTTTTTTCAATGAGAAGCATCTTCTTTGTGCACGGATGACGGACCGAATTGACGAAGACGGCAAACTAGAAGAGTCCCACGTCGACGACTGCAGTTCATTCGCGCGACAGCATAGCATCTGTTTTGTTTCATGTCGCTGGTTTGGATCATCTTCCGCTTTTTGAACTTCCTCCATCCGTATTCCCTATCCCGACCCGATCTAGCGCACATGCACTGATTATTGCATGACGTGTCACCTTTCATAGGTTGCAGTTTGAAAAAAAAGCGTGCAAACGCGTGTTGTACTAGGGTGGTTTTCTGCTTCTCTCGCATATGCA